AGGTAAGACGTCTCTCGCCGCCGCCGATTTGGACGGGTAGCGATTGTCGTTCTCTGGTGTCCCTGCTGGCGGCACTTGCAGGGCAGCCATCACCTCGGCCATCATGCCGCTGCTGAGCTCCATCTTGCTAGTGTAGCCGATTTCGTAGTCTTGACGAAATCGAACTTATCCCGGTGCCGTTCAGTTCCGCCGCCGTGGTCTATAGAACACCTGCGCAATGGTCGCGTCGACGCCAACCTCCCGCTGTCCGCGGTCATGCAAGCTCCGCTAGCAAATCGAAATCGCCGTTTTTTCTCCCTCGCCAGATCGCGCGGCAGCGCCGATCCCAAGTCTGTCGCGGGCCTTTGGGTCCAGGCCAGCGCCGCAAGCGCCGAAGCCTCACGCCTTTCATGCTTGACCCAGAACACTGGCGGAGAGCAGCAGGGGCCAGTTCCCGAGGTTTTCGACTCCGCCCCCCCCCCTTTCCCCCTCCTCCCACTAATACAACACTATCAGTGCTCGACCAAGGTTTACGAAAATAATATTGTAGCTGGGTCCAACTTCAATCGCACCCTAGTCGGGCTCGATCCACCTTTAATAGAACCCTACAATGGCTGGACCCGAATGTTCGTTCCAGCTCTGATGGAAGTCTAAAACCTAAGACAGCTGGATCCAACTAGCATCCTAGTTGGATTCGATCAGTTCTGGTATAAAAATTGTACAGCTGAGTCCAACTCCGGTTGAACTGTACGGGTGTTCGATCCTACCTACCAGACCACCCCAAGCCAGCCCGAAGACCCGAATTTCGGGTTGGGGGGGGTACGGGTTCAATCTGTGTTCTTTCATTGTTCCCCGAATCCCCCGCCACTGGAAATGGAAGGCAAGTCGAAGCCTTCTGGTTGGGCTGGGGTGGCTTGGTGGGTGGTGACAATTCTACCTTCAGATTGAAACGACTCAGTCCAACCTTCATAACATCCTCCTAAGGTTCGACAGTCGTCGTCCTCGTCGTCCTCGTCGTCCTCGTCGTCGTCGTCGCTGCCGGACGGCGCCGGCGCTGGTGCCAACGCTCGCCGTCGTCGGTTGCAACTGGTGAAAGGGGGGAAAGGGGGAGGGGTTCGACACCCCCCCGTTAATTCGCCCCCCCCCCCCCCCCGCCCCCCGATTCGACCCTTCCGCACCCCGCCCTAGAGCCCTCACCCGCCCCCCCCGCCGGCACCCACTCCCGATTGCGATTCGAGCCCCCCCTCCCACTCGAGCCGCCCCCCCTTCCAAACGTCCACAGAACGCGCTCTTCCACCTATCTGTATATGATGCACACGCATATGTGTATACAACTGTGTATACGCGCGCAGTGGTCAGACTCGAAGGCGCATATGTCGCTGCGCCGCTTGTTCTCGACGGGCACAAGTGGACGACGCCGACACAACTGCAGACTCACAGCAAACCCTGCGACCCACGGCCCAAGTAGACGCACTCGGCTCCGCGGCAAACCCCATGGCAATCCCTGCGCTTCAGGTGGAGTTTGCCCTGGTGGCCGCAGCGCCATCGCCAAGACGTAAGGCCGCGCGTCAGCACAAACAGCGTGGCGACATATGCATGTACGGATCTTGGTGAATGGATGCGGATGCAGACGCAGAGGCCTTAATTTGATCACTCAACCGCACTCGCACACAACAGTGCAACGACACGTTTGCGCGTCGATGTAGTAAGGTGTGAACGTAAGCGTATACATATATATATATATATATATGTGTGTGTGCACCCACGCGCATCCACATGGACAAGCTGTGTGTATTGTTTCTGTCGGGCGCGTCCGTAGGGGCACCCTTCCGAGTCACGTAAAAGTATCGCATTCATGGGAGAGTCGCCAACCACCAAGGACGACCACACATGACAAATATGGACCACCAGGAGGACAAAGAGGGACTGGCCCCTCCGAACCACTCTTCCTATAGCTCGTGGGTGAACAGACGAAGTGCCCCACACCTCGAGCCTCGAGGGGCCGCGGCCAAAGTCAGGCCTGCAGTCGAAGGCTGCCCTCTCAACCCTCTGGGCGTGCTCGCACTAAGGCGGCGCTCGCAGACCGTCCGGGGCTTTCGCTAGAGACAAGCAAAAACAACATGGACATAAACTGTCCAAGGTCCGCGCGGATTTCCTGGGCCAGCGCTGACCCCCCTCTGTTGGCGCGCGGAACTCCCCGGCCCAGCGCCGATCCAAGGAATCCGCGCGTCATGCGCTCAGCCGACTTCTCCAACTAAAGGATCAAACTCTATACACCGACGCGTTTTCTGGTCCTGCGCTGACACTTGCACAAGAAAGCGGATCCTGGTGTATACGGGATCGTGGTGTACTGGTGTATACGCTTTTCGTTGTCCCCCCCTGGAAACAAAACAAATAACAGTATACACCGCACCACCCCGACGTCGCCCCAGGCCCTCAAAAAAAACCTGGGAGTGAAGAACAGCCCGCCACTGGTAATGTATATGTTCCGGGTGTTGCTAGAAGCGCCCCTGACCCAAGGTGCCCCCAGGATTTCCGGGGAGGCCCCCACGGCCTCCAGAGCACCCCTCACGAGGCCCAGAGGGCCCCCGGGGGCTCCAACATTGAGCGAAAAGCTGGGGGCACCTTGGGCCAAGGGCACTTTTAACACCCCCCGAATGTTTCGGGGATGGACAAACCTCCCTTTAGTAAAACGTGGTTTAGTGAAAACGACTTCGGGCCCAAACCTGGCAGGCGCAACCCTGGAAAATAACGGCCATGGCGCCCTCTCGAAGACCGAAAACGGACAATTCACTAATCGACGTGTCACTGTTGGGGGTTCTGTCCACCCCCGAATGTTCCAGTTTCCGACGTTGATGTCCCCCGGCTCACCGGCTGGCTCCAGCAGAGGCCGTAGCCGGGCTCCGCGCCGCGCCGGCGCTCGGCATAGCCGCCGTGGCCGAGGTTGCTCGGGCCGAGGCCGCCGCCGCCGGGGCCGCCGTGGCCGTGCACGACCAGGGCCTTGGCGGGGCCATCCCGACGGGGGGCCTGTATGACTGTATGTAAAGGGAAACTGGGACACACAAATAAATACACACAAATAAAAAGATTCCCCATATTTTCCTATATTTTCTATGTTTTTGTCCTCCCCACCACTTCCCATATTTTCCCATATTTTCCTAGGGATCGACGAATAATTGTGTCTGTGTGTTTTTTCCCCTCCTGAGTATGACCTCAAAGGTACCTGCTACATAGGCCGAAACCTCAAGTTCAGAGAGAGGGACTCGATCTGGCTGTGACAGACGGGGCGAGGGCAGAGGGCTGCCACTCTGTGCTGAGGAGGCATCTGGGTGGGGGGGCTCTGTGATCACCTGTGGGTGTGCTAATCGTCGGTGGCGAGCGAGGGGGGAAGCGAGAAGGAGAAGGTTTTCTCAGAGGGCGGCGGGACTGCTCAGAAGCAAATGATCTTTCTACTTCGGCGGTTCGGCATTGGGCGGAAGGGGGGGGTGTCTGGATGCGGACCTCTGCTTAAAGCGGCTGTTTGGAACAGTGCGTCCATTATGAGGGAGGCTCCACCTGCCTGAAACGGGCGCCAAAAACAGCCAAGATTTAGTCCATGGGGGTGGGGGGAGGAGGGGTGCGAGGGCCCGAGCCGATCGGCAAAGCAAGGAGAGAAAACGATCACCGATGGGTGTGCTAACTGGTTTGCGGGGTTCTACCCACCTTGGGGCCCTTCAGTCGGGGATGTGGAACAAGTTGTGAGCAGGCTTGCAGACAAGTTGGTCAAGAGGTTCAGCGGGTCGTTACGAACCTGAATCCTGAGATGCTCAACCTGCCTTGAGTTTTTAGGAGGGCCTCGGAACCATGTTACGATCGCTGCTTTTGCACATGAGGGGCGGCAACCTTACAATGCCTTCGGCATGGACAACGGGTAGGATTTCAAGGACAAGGGGCGTGATTTTCAAGAACATCGGGGTGGAAGTGGTTTACAGAAGAGCGCGGTCGTTTAAACCTCGACACTCCTTAACATAGGAGAGACACGTGTAAAGTTTGTTTGCTTGCCACGGTTTACAGAGCCTGTCAGCAAGCGACGAAGTGGTCATTAGCGCCATTCACCAACAATCGCAACCAGACAACAATCTGAACACAGAAACGCCCGAATCGGACATCTGAGATCGGACGCGCGTGAATCAGCAACCTGAGCCCGGCAGCGCTCTAATCAGCAATCTTGGCACTAATCGGCAAAAAGGGGAACGCCGAAATCAGCAATCCGCGCGCTGAACCGCTCCAAACGGCAATCTGAACGGAAAACGGGTCGAATCGGCAATCTGCGCACAGAAAGGAAAAGTCTGAACACAGAAACGCCCGAGTCGGCAATCTGCACCAGGAAATGGCAGAATTGGCAATCTGAGCTCGGAGCTGCTCGAATCGGCAATGTGGGACTCACTGGGGCCTCCTGCCAGGCAAATCCTCACATGTGGATGACCCACATCCTCGTATGATTGCACTGGGACGTCCACTGAATGGGTTCTTCCCATCCGCGGGCCCCAGGTATCTGAAGCCCTTTCCTGGGGGCAACTGCGGTCCTGGATTATTGTTTGATTGCCCCAATACTCACAAACGGCCCACAGAAACCGAACCGGAAGAACATGATCGACCCACGAACCCGGAAAGGGGTATAGAAATGTGAAGCATGGGTATGGTTCAAGACACCAAATTTGGGAGTCGGACAATTGCAGTGCTCAAGATAGCGATGGTGATGTACAATGCCAGGGGCTGTGCTGCCGTGCTTGAATAAACTGAGGCGCGCCATGCCGCGTTGAAATGCTGTGCTGTAGCCGGGAAATGATTAGAACAAAATGAACAAGACGATCGTTTTGAATGATCTGCAGACGGCAACGCCCAAAGAGTATCATTAAGTGACATTCGCCCTTCAATGTTGGCAGCGTGCGCAGGCGTGCACCATGGGCCAAGTTATTGATGGGCCATGTTTTGGCTTGCGCGACCGGTGGCGACATTGGGAGGCGGATGCCACTTAATGCCCGGGTGCTCTTCCAAGCTCATCCTTCACAGGGCCGCTGGCGTGGGCGGTTCCACGTTCTGCCGTGCGGCTTCGTTCCCACAGTCGGATGGCTAACGTGCACCGCGCAATGCAGACGAGACGTTCTTCCATAACATTGACAGGCGGATGTCGCTTCATGCGACGGGCCCCGCCTGGTCTGATTCAACGTCGTTTTGGCTTCCATCCCTGTGCCACTTTTGTTATAAACTTTTCTCACGGGGAGCATTGTGGATCAGGTCGTCCGTGGCGTCAGAGTCCCGATCGAACTGGTCTGGATCTTAAGTTCAAACTGCCTGAACGCATAACTCAGATCTGGCCGCAATCGAGACGCGCGGATCGCTCGACCAGCTGAAGCTCAAGATTCGCTGTCAGTCCGGAAGCGTGACGAACCGACAGGAGGAGATTCGGAACAGTTCTGTTCACTGTTGCGTCGTAGATCAAATCTTGCCTGGCATCCGAATCCTGAGTGAACTGAGCTGGGCCTCGAGCTCGAGCTGCCTTGGCGCAGCGCTCGGCCAGAGCTGATTGCAATGGAGAATTTACAACATACTTATGTTCTGCAACAGTGCGACATCATGATCAGCATCAGCATCAGCATCAGCATCATCATCATCCTCATCGTCGTCAGCACCATCATCAGCAGCATCAGCATCACCATCATCATCATCATCATCATCATCATCAGCAGCAGCAGCAGCAACATCATAATTCTCGTCCTCATCCTCATCCTCATCCTCAACGTCACCACCATCTCAATCATCATCATCATCGTCATCATCATCGTAATCCGCATTCGCATGATCCTCATCATCACCATCCTCATCTGTCTCATCATCCTGGTCGTCCTCAGGCTCATGATTAGCATCCTCATCATCATCATCCTCATCCTCATCCTCATCTCCATCATCATCCACACCATCATGATTAACGACAACAGCACCATCACCATACATCACCATCAAATATCATCATCATCCTCATCCCCATCACCGTCCTCATCATCGTCATCATCATCATCAACATCTATCAGCACCACCACCATAAACATCACCATCATCACCTTCCTCCTCCTCCTCCTCCCTCCCTCCGTCTCCCTCTCCTTTCTCCTCCCTCCTCCCCTCCCATCACTCCCCTCTCCCTCTGGCAACTGCCAGCCATCGACGTCATCGTCGTCGGCTTCTTCGTCGCCGCTCTCCTTCTCTGCCTGGGCCCTGCTGGCGCTCCAGCCTTCAACCGCGCGGGACAGGCCCGAAGGCGCCCGCGACGGTTTCGTCGGCCGAGGCTTCGCTCAGGAGCCGCCCGTCTGGCAGGACAGCGTGAGCCCTGTCGAATCCGGGGCCAAGTCTGCTTGCGCGGTGCCCGGCCGCCAGCTGGTCGTACACGTGTGTGAGCAGAGCGTCAGGCGCGCCACCGGGATTCGGCAGCGCTTTACCCCGCCCATGGTTACGAACATCACGGAACCGCCGTCGAGCGATTCCTGCAAGAGAAGCGCAACTCCAAACAAACGCGCTCTGTAGGACAGCCCTCTATACATCGCCGGCATGTAACTCTGGCCAACGTCGTTGTTGCCGCAGGCTGCAACCGTGCCGTCGCTCTGGAGCAAGACCGTGTGAGAGCCTCCCGCGGTGACGTGCGTGTAGGTCTGGCCTTCCTCTAGCGCCGACACCTCGCACTGGCCTTCGTTATTGCTGCCGCAGGCTGCAACCGTGCCGTCGCTCCTGAGCAAAACCGTGTGCATGCGTCCTGCGAATGCGTCCGTGTAGGTCAGCGCCTCCTCCAACGCGGGCACGTCGCACTGGCCGTCTGTGTTGCAATCACAGGCTGCAGCCGTGCCGTCGCTTCTGATCAAGACCGTGTGAGAGCCTCCAGCGGCGACGTGCGTGTAGATCAGCCCTCCCTCCAGCGTCGGCACATCGCACTGGCCCTCGTCATTGAGGCCGCAGGCTGCAGCCGTGACGTCGCTCCTGAGCAGGACCGTGTGGGAGCCTTCCGCGGCGACGTGCGTGTAGGCCAGACCTCCGTCCAGCTCGGGCAAGTCGCACTGACCGAAATCATTGAAACCGCAGGCCGCAGCCGCGCGAGACCGTGTGGTAGCCTCCAGCGGTGACGTCCGTGTAGGTCAGGCCTCCCTCTAGCGCTGGCACGTCGCATTGGCCATGGTCACCGCAGCCGCGGGCTGCAACCGTGCCGTCGCCCTTGAGCAAGACCGTGTGCATGCGTCCCGCGGCGACGTCCGCTGGCACGTCGCACTGGCCGTAGGCATTGAAGCCGCAGGCTGCAACCGTGCCGGCGCTACTGAGCAAGACCGTGTGGTGGCATCCCGCAACGGCGTGAGTGTAGGTTAGCCCTTCCTCCAAATCCAGCAAATCGCACTGGTCGAAATCACCGTTGCCGCAGCAAGCCCACGTGCCGTCACTACTGACCAAAACCGTTGGAAGCACCCCGCGGCGACGTGCGTGAATGTCATGCCTCCGTTCAAATCTGCCACGTCGCATTGGCCGTCATCACTGCGGCCGCAGGCTGCAACCGTGCCGGCGCTACGGAGCAAGACCGTGTGAAGAAATCCCCCGGCGACGTGCGTGTAGGTCAGGTCATCCTCTAACTCCGGCACGTCGCACTGGCGTAGGCATTGAAGCCGCAAGCTGCAACCGTGCCAGCGCTACTGAGCAAGACCGTGTGGTGGCCTCCAGCGGCTACATGCGTGTACGTCAGGCCTCCCACCATCGCTGGCAAGTCGCACTGCCCGAAGTCATTGTTGCCGCAGGCTGCAGCCGTGCCATCGCTCCGGAGCAAGACAGTGTGGTGGCCTCCAGCGGCGACGTGCGTGTAAGTCAGGCCTCCCTCGGGCGCCGGCACGTCGCACTGACCGAAGCCATTGCTGCAGTGAGCGTCAACTGTGCCGTCGCTATGGAGCAAGACCGTGTGGAAGCGTCCCGCGGCGACGTGCGTGTAAGTCAGG